CTGATGACTTTCACGGTGCCATCAGACCAAACGCAAGGGATTCACTGTCACCAACGCAGAATCCTCCTCGGACTCCACTTGCTTCAAGGCAGCCAACTTTTGGTTCTCGGGACAGTTCCGCTGCAAGTGCTGACCGCCACACCCCCAGCAAGCTTTGGACTTTGGTTTTGTCACACTCGCTTCCGTTGCCGCACTGATGTCGTCACACTTCAACGTCCCCCTTGAACCGGAAATGCCTGATTCTCCCTTGCCCTTGTTCCCCTTAGAACCATCGGACAATGAGTAATCCATGAGTCCTTCGGCCGCTGCCATGGCACTCGGCAAATCCTTCACAGCCTGCCTTCTCAATTCTGTCTGGGCCCACGGCTGCAGTCCAGACACGAAATTGAACAGCCTGTCCTCCTCCGTCATGTTCTCAATGTCTAACATGAGCGAAGAGAACGTCTTGACATAATCCCTCACCGATGTGGTGTGTTTCAAGTTCTTCAGGGCCTCCCTGCCCATCCAAGAGACATTGTGGGGAAGGAATTGAGCCTTCAACTCCTTCTTGAGTCCATCCCATGACTCCAGCCCGTGTCTTCCCGTATTAGCGTCGTCCCTTACTCTACTCCGCCACCAAAGCTTTGCATCACCAGACAAGTACATGGGTGCAATCCTCACCTTCTCTTCGTCCGGCACCTTTGCGGCTTTAAAGTATTCTTCCATATCCCACAGAAAGTTCTCCAACTCCTTGGCATTGCGGTCACCACCAAAGGTCTTCGGCTCCGGCACTTTGATCTTTGAAGAGCCTACTTCAGCGCTTGGGACCAGTCCCGCTGCAAGAGCCCTCTTCAAAATCACAAGTTCTGACTTTGTGGCTTCGTTCTCGGCAGAGCGTGCCTCCAGTTCGTTTACCAGGTCTGCCCTTGAGGCCTCAAGTGCCTTAAGCCGCGCCCACACCGGCCTAAGCGCTTCCTCAATCAGCCCACGAACCAGTACCTCCGCAGTCTCCACCCCTTGGTCACCGGCAGACGAATCACGATCTTCAACCATCAGCTCTGATACCAATTGTTACACGGTAAAATTCACGTCTCGAATTTTCACCCTGTACGGCCTGCCTTAACGCCTTAAGACAGTCAGCCTTCCACCCAATGCCGCGGCGCAACCCTTAATTGGAATAGGAACACAACACTTTAACACACACTTAGAATAAAGGCACACGACTTTACGGTCAACGACCAACCTTGTATTAATTCACAATTAATACACTAGGACTAATACAACACGCTCACAATGTCTAACACACTTGCAAACACTCGGCCACACTGCTGTCTCTCGCTAAGACTACAAAACTCGCAGTTATGCCGCGGCATATTTATAGACGAGCCACGTCTGGCAGTTACAAGCCAACTGCCTAGCCTGAAGGGACGCGTCTCTTCGCGTGTGGCAGTTACCAACCGCCCTATGCCGCGGCCTTCCGGTCTGCCCAAGCACTTGTCCGCCCGAAGCCCTCAACTGCCTTGCCACCGGTTCGCCTCAAGGCACCTGTTCGCGTGTAACCGTCCTGCCCTTCCAGACTTGAGTCATGCCGCACCGAACCGACACGCCTCTTCGAGCTTGCACTCATGCCGCGGCCTAACCCAGGCCACCCACGAGCCAACTCTTTGCTTTGAGCTTGTGACCAACTCTTGTTGCCTTGCGCCCAGCTTGCCCAAGTCCCACTTGTCAAACGGCCAACCAACTCTCGTTGCCACCGAAGCTCCCAAATGTCGTGACTGCCCAAGGACAGCCACGCCCCGGGCTCAAGCCTGGCCACGCACCACGCACTACCCTTGAGTCGTTCACGTGCCACCTTGAGCCACTTGCTTTTGTTGTGCCTCCAAGCTGTTGTTCCGCATCCCGTAAGCCATGCCCCGCATGCCACTGACCTTCACCAACACTTGGACCACATGCCGGACCCGCACACCCATAGTCTCCCTTGACCATGTCATGCCGCCCATGAACCGAACATGGTTTCTCGCAACGCCAACCGTTCTGCCCTCATACTTGGTCTAGCTTGCCTTGTCTTGACTAAGTCCCCATGCCTTAGCCAAACTTCCACCTTGCCCGTTCTTCGCAATGTTGCAATGCCGCGGCATAACTATGCCTTGGCCATTGCCATGATGACTTTGGCCGCATCCCATGCCCCGAAAAGCCACCCTATCGAGCCCAAACCATGTCTCGATAAAGACCCGCCAAAAAGGGGTCTAACAGTAGGCCACTATCCTACCATCGAAAGTTGATAGGGCAGAAATTTGAATGATGCGTCGCCGGCACTATGGCCATGCGATCCGTCAAGTTATCATGAATCATCGCAGCAACGGGCAAGAGCCCGCGTCGACCTTTTATCTAATAAATGCATCCCTTCCAGAAGTCGGGGTTTGTTGCACGTATTAGCTCTAGAATTACTACGGTTATCCGAGTAGTAGGTACCATCAAACAAACTATAACTGATTTAATGAGCCATTCGCAGTTTCACAGTCTAAATTAGTTCATACTTACACATGCATGGCTTAATCTTTGAGACAAGCATATGACTACTGGCAGGATCAACCAGGTAACATTCCTAAATGATGCCCCGAGCACGAGCGACGAAAGAACACTCAATGCAACAAAGCAGTCATGCGTAGGACTAGCGTGCCACATTGGCACACGGGGAAAGAAGAAGATGAATTCCAATGCCCCGTGCTTATACCAAATCCAAGAGCCATGCACAACTACTCGTATGCCCAGATCACAACCAAGGGTTGCACCGAGCACAAGTAGGCGTTTGGCGTCCATCCCACGCACACCCTCGCATACAAACGAGGACGAGCACAGGACGGAAATCGAGAGTTAACATGCAAAATGCCACCCGCAGCGGTATTCGACACCGGAAACCATGGAAAATCGGCCCCAGCAGCACCGAGGCAATCGACACTGAGAAGGCAAGGCGGCAAGACGTCATTGCTACGGCAATGATCCATCTTAACCACAAATGCCGGAGACAACTCACGCACCGTCTTGCATCGCAAACATCAAGTGCAACACAACTTACACCAACAGACCACACGGTTGGAATCGCTCCAAGCATATAGTCCACCACCGCAAGTTGAACGCCATGACACTCGCATCAATAAGTGCGAAAGGGAAAAGACCGAAATAAACCCACTAGTCGCATCGCCAACGAGAGGAGACCGAAACCACATAGAGTAAAGCAACTACTCGTGCCACGCCGTTGCAACCGACCGAAACCGACTAGTGCATACGGCGACCATGCTGAAACCCGGGCAGCGAAAGACCAACGCCGTGGACCGGAGAACCACGACCGAAAACCGAAACCCACATAGAGCAGTACAACTGCTCGTGCCACGCCATTGCAACCGACCGAAACCGACTAGTGCAAATGGCGACCTTACCGAAACCCAAGCAACGGAGAGACCAACGCCGTGGACCGGAGAGCCACGCAAAGAAACCGAAACCCACATCGAGTAGTGCAACTACTCATGCCACGCCATTGCAACCGACCGAAACCGACTAGTGCAAAAGGCGACCATACCGAAACCCAAGCAGCGGAAGGGACCAACGCCGTGGACCGGAGAACCACGACCGAAAACCGAAACCCACATAGAGCAGTACAACTGCTCGTGCCACGCCATTGCAACCGACCGAAACCGACTAGTGCAAATGGCGACCTTACCGAAACCCAAGCAACGGAGAGACCAACGCCGTGGACCGGAGAGCCACGCAAAGAAACCGAAACCCACATCGAGTAGTGCAACTACTCATGCCGCGCCATTGCAACCAACCGAAACCGACTAGTGCAAGAGGCGACCATACCGAAACCCAAGCAGCGGAAAGACCAACGCCGTGGACCGGAGAACCACAGCCGAAAACCGAAACCCACATCGAGCAGTACAACTACTCATGCCACGCCATTGCAACCGGCCGAAACCGACTAGTTCAAACGGCGACCTTACCGAAACCCAAGCGACGGAGAGACCAACGCCGTGGACCGGAGGGCCACGCAAGGAAACCGAAACCCACATTGAGTAGCGCTACTACTCATGCCACGCCATTGCAAACAACCGAAACCGGCTAGCGCAAACGGCGACCATGCCGAAACCCATGCAGCAGAAAGACCAACGCCGTGGACCGGAGAACCACGGCCGAAAACCGAAACCCACATTGAGTAGTGCCCTATGCCGCGGGGCAACTACTCGTGCCCACCCAACCTGGAAACCGCGGCATTCCAACCAACCGAACCGAAGGAGAGGATAACCAACCCACCGAAACCCACGCGGCGAAAATATCCAACTCCGTGGCATGGGAACCCACGCGGAACCCACGCTGAGAAGCGCCCCATGCCGCGGCGCAACTCTGCCCGTGCCCACCCGTCGAGGAGCACTCCCCCCCTATAGTAGATAAAAAAACATATACACTGAATCTCGGAGTAGCGACATTTTGGCCCGAAAAGGTATAAATTTTTATTTCAATTTCTTTTTCCTTTATTTTTTGCTGAAAAATGCCTAATTGTACACAAAACATTGAAAAATCAATATGTAAATGAGGATTAAACTTAAACTTAATTAAAAAAGTAATAAAATTAATTAATTAATATTTAATTAATTATAAATCTTAAATTTAATTAAAAAATCAATTAATTAATATTTAATTAATGATTAAACATAAACTTAATTAAAAAATTAATGAATTTAATATATTAATATTTACTTAATTACTAAACTTAATTTCAATGTAAAAAATTAATATATTTAATTATTAAACTTAACTCTAATTAAAAAATTAATGCTTATTAATTATTAAACCTCATTTTAAAGGCATGATACTTCAATAAAAAATCATAAAATCATATTAACACACATATGATAGTGATCTATGGAAATTTTTCTCTCTTTAATGTTTTCATTAATCCTTATTATCCTTAATCTTTTATCCTTGATTAAACATTTATCGTTTTCTTTAAACTTTTCTCGTTATTT